GATTTGAGATTTGGGCGTAATTACATTTGTAAAAAAAACACGTCAATCGCCGATTACTGAGCATGAGCATGAGCATTGACGACCATACATTTCAGTAGTTGCTACTGTGTGATTGGCCAGATTTAGCGAAATTTGCACAATGAACCATATGAATGGGGCTTGGGACTAGCAATCCATTCTCAGTGTACAAAATCCAGAGAATACATATTTTTGAGGTCAATAACGGCGCCGGCCACTTCCTTACGGTCATCGGGGAGGGAAAGGATTGCCGTTGTTATTAGAGACCGAGTATACCTCTGAATCTCCACGGTTGTCACGGGAAGGACGTTTTTGTTAGTGGGAAGGGTAAATTAGATCTGGATTCACATTGGAAAGAGATGCGATCTTTAAAACCTGTTAAGCAAATGACAGTAATGTAAAGAGGCTTGGGTTTTAACCCACGATCTTCTGCTCAGTAAGCAAAAACGGTCGCTTACATCACAACAAGCTACGACCAACGATCGTTCATTATCGGTTACAAGAAGCTATTACTACAATAAAATGAAATCATCCAAAATAGTTAACAATGTCTTCCGAACCGATTCAGGCGTCTAAATATACTTATTAGTTTTCAGAATCGTTCCTCCAATTTCTGTTATTGTTACACGACAAAATATGATCTAGTTTTCATTTCGTACACTCAAAAAATTCCACACGTCATCATCATGTGTCTCACACTTAATTTTGCGCTTATTGTGAAACACATCCATTTCATGTGTGAATCTTATGCTATGAACCATGCCTGAACACTATGGATTTGAATTGTGACACACTTGGATTCTATGTGCCTCATATGGTGATATCAATAGCTTTGCACATCATAGTTCAATATTCTGCTTTATCGACTTCTACTTTACCGACTCTAAAAATTGAAACGACAAATATATAATCAAAACTGCCAGAGGCCAGAGCTTTCACATATCTTTTTAATGGGTCTGATTTGAGGCGGGTTAATAGGATAAAGTCACAACTCTTGTTTTCGATGTTTACCTTTCTGAGCAAGCAATTCACATCGTATTGAAATGCAAAACACTTTAAATCCATGTAGCCAGCCCGGGCGATCCGTCTCTAAAAACGTGTGGTTTAAGCGCCACTCCACAAGGGAGACCACACGCCCAATGTAAATTTGCCCGGTTGAGACTCTCCTAAGGGTGAGTCCATTAAATTTCCTAGAAAGGATTTACGGATCAGGCAAGCCGGCTTTCAACTAAACGTCCAAAACGGGAAAACCCTATTATCCCCATGAAACCACAAACACGATAGTCACTCAGAGAGTCGGTGAGAGCTCACCCATACCTAAAAATCTCTACAAAAGAGAATTTATCATCATCGGCAGTCTCGTCACTTGCCACTAGACGTCGCCCCGATCTGGAAGTGGACTACTCTCCCGAACATTCAAACTCTCAACATGAGGACGGGACACGCAAACTACAACGGAGAACGCGAAGTAATGTCGAATACATTCAATTAATTAAAGCTAGGGAGATGGACATTTTACGAAAACATTTATTATCACGGAACTATTCAGGCGGTATATTTAGTGCATAACATTACTTATCCTACGTATATTTCTTTACATGTTCCAATTGATTTCGGTTTACTTGTGTGTGTTCGCTCCTATCTCCTATGTGTGTGCGATTTCTCTCTCCCTAACTAATGTGCTCATGTGCTCTACTCAGTGGTGGCACGAGTCCTGGAGTTTAACATTTTTTCCTTAACATTTGATACTTTTTGCGATAACTATTGTGACGACACACAACAAACTGGCAAGCGGCAAAAATGTCATGACATTTCTAAACTGTTTTCTGCCAGCGACAGAACATTTTCGCACAAAGAAGCAGACAAGACCGGCGGCGCGCGCGACATAAATTTATGTCGTGTAGAATTTTGCTGATTTCTGGCTAATTACTGCATTTATTTTATGTTTATTGCATGGAATTAAAATATAAGAATGAAGACTGACCACTCATAAGCATTGATGTTAAAATTATGCGTAAATAAGGGAGTTGGTAATTTACTGTCACACGCAAGCCTGCAGCTAAATTTTTCATTACAATAAACTGTTTGGAAAAATCAGGCTGCGAGATTTTATTTATTCTCTATCTCCGCTGTTCGCTTGGAATGTAGTTATAAACGGCCACCCGTGTGCTGGCTGTTTTGTTTCGCTCTGGACGATGGTTTTTCGAAAAATGTACTGTTGCCACTCTACTTAATCATGTGTGTGACGTCACTTTATCGGCAACTCAGCTCCAAACGAGTCTGCGCTCCTGGTGACAACGACGTTGGCGTTGAAAAACGTTACTTTTCAAAGGCGGGGATGCCACATCACGAGTTCCGGAAAAGCGTGTCACGGAAACTCGGCGCTACTCGCTCATCAGTCTTAGACTGGCAAAAAATCTCTCCGTGGCGCCCTCGCCGGACGCCACACTCCAAAAATAGAAAAGGCTTGACTCACCAGATGATGTTGGTTTACGTGATGGTCACAGTCGATGACCTATCGACGGGTTCGACGCACTCTTTAGGGATCGTCGATGGTGATCCGATGAATGGAGGTGCTTCGCTGACAATGGCGTTTCACACGCCGATGTCAATGGCGGTTACTCTGCCGTGCCGGTAGGTTGACGAACCGGCGGGTGGACCGTGTCCACGTGGAGATCCCCTGAGTCTCCTCGGACCGATTATGTAACGGATCCGTCCGCTTCCGGCCGGTTGGCGATTGCCGGGAAATTCCGTCCGTTGGGGAGAAGTTGCTGCGTTTGGGCACGGTGTATTGCTGCGAACGATTTAACACGACTACACCAGAACAGTGAGCACAAGCACGAGCACGGACATGGACAGCACATATTGAGCACATCAAAAATTACCTGTAGATTTCTCTAGCCTTTCTCCTGATCGCACACAATTTACTACACGCACACTTATTCTACTAGCTAAAGGAACGAACAAAAATCTTTAATTAATTTTAAACACTAGACATCACTTTAAATTACATACTTTAACTAGGAAAAACGACCACGAACAAACGCGCAAACTTCAAGAACGTTGGGATGTCACGGACGAAATGATCGAGACCGTGAATCCTCAGATAAAGGAAAGTAAAACTCGGACGAACCGGAAGTCCATCATTTCCCGAAACCCTTCGTGTCCTATCGTGAATCTAAAGACACGAAAGATAACTTGGCTTGTTTAATTGCGCGACTGTCCCTTTCATACCTTATCCATAAATTAAATGGACCCGTCTTAGGAAAGATTTCAGCAAAAATGCTTGTGTCTTCCTACTGCCTACCATAAGGAATTTAATTCAAACAATTTAACTTTATCAAATTATATACAAATTTATACAAAATTCCTGATCGTTACATCCATCTGTTTTGAGCAGTAGCGTGATTCAATGTGCAATACACTTGAATAGATAGTGAAAGATTTTAAATATTTCAAAGTTTGAAACACTATAAATTAACGTGTATAACACATTGAACCAAAGTGAAATACACTTAAAGTAAATGTGATTGTGCATTTAGAAAATCAAGTGTTTAAACACTTCGATCAAACGTGTGAAATTTGTTGAGTGTATGTAATGAACAACAGAGATACGCGATAATTCATATACTTTCACCACCTCTTCACTCACCTGGCTCAGAAAAGAAACACGTCAATCGTCGATTTCTAGCGGCGCCGGTGGTGTAGTGGTAAGCGTGATTATCTCTCACCCCAGCAGGCCTGGGTTCAATCCCAGTCGGCGCCGCCGAGATGTTCTGAGGCATAACATCTCTGATCACGCCTTCCTTCGGATGGGAAGTAAAGCCGTTGGTCCCCGGTTCATGAGTTGATGGGTCGATAGGTAGGGTCCAAGTGTGGGAGCTGCCTCCCTGGCTTCGGTAGAATTGGTGTTCAGCACGGAAAACAAGATCGACGGAAAACAAATTAACGAAAAAAAAAAAATCAATGGCCAACAAAAATATCCATTAGTACTGTCCCAACGATGCGTTCATCTGGATAAAATAGACAAATAGCTGAATTTTTTTGCGATGGGCCCAATCTTAGATCCATAGGCCAACATTAGAGCCATTCCCCCTAGGTTCTTTAAATTCAAAACAGTACAATAGCCTTTGAAATGGGTAAAGCGCCTCTGAATGCTAAAATGGCTTTTCAATGTCGACATAATTTCCAAAATGATCTTGAAACACCGAAATTACTGTAATTCATTAGTACACAGGTAAAAAGCGAGGTTAGTCGACATCACTGGTTTAAACTAAGAGAAAATCCACGGTGACGATTACTTGAGCTCTTTTCCTGAACCATTTTGAAAATACATTTATTAAGTGGCAAGCATCAAAGAAGAACATTTTCAACGACAATCAAGAAGAGTTCGTATATTGATCAAGTTCTCACCATCTTATCCGCAGTTATTAGCTAGTTTTTCCTTTTTGATGATTAGCCCACAGTCAGTATAGCGGTGAAGTGCCATAATCCCATAATCGAAATCAACCGTTCTTTTTATGGGTTCGCTACAGGCATGCGCATTGAAGTTCCCAGTGTCGACCGTAAAAGCAACCTCTCTTTTGCTTAGAAAAAAAACCCCGCCAAAACGGAATGCACGTGGTGGTTTAGACCTGACATTCTTGTTCATTTCAATCTTGATTCCACAATTTGAAGCAGTTTAATTATTGTTTACTGAACAGAAAAGTTATCCCGAAATGTTACTGGCCTACTGGTCTCGCTACGCAGCGTTGCCGCAAAAGGAATCTATCAAAGTGATGAGTGAACCAGCAGGACAGGGATCGTCTTGACAACGAACGCGTCGCTTTGCCTCGTGTCAGGACTACTCTGGGTGCCATCGCGAGGGGGTGGTTTTTGTCATCGGAGTTGGGGTGGAAAATTCGTTGCTTTATGGCAACTGCACAGAAGCGGAAGGGGGGAGGACTCGGAAACGCCGCTTCTGTCGAGAAGGGATGACACAAACGCCAGTAGAGCGGCGGCAGCGACGACCGACGGTGTGTGAAAAAGTTTTGTAGCGAAAATGTTGCCCTGTAAAAATTGCCCGTGACTAGTTGGAATAGTTTTTAATCCGTTTTAGGCAGCGCATTTCCGACCGAAAGTGGACGTACGGATGTGGATCGCACTCGAAGTCGGCCCGTGAGCTAGTGCAACGCAACCATCCGCTGTGATTTCCGGGCAAAGTTCAGCAAATCTCTGCAGAGCCCCAATCAACTGCTGATCACAAAGAGGGTAGGGTTCCCTTTGGATTCTGTTTGCACTATGGCGTAGTTGGAGGAAAAGGTCACAAAAAGCAACCAAGGTGACGGGTTTTGCGGTGGTTGATCGTGTCCGGGTGCTTTCGAGAGTGGTTTCAACGGTTGGGGTTGTGAAATTTGCAAATGCAGTGATTTTCGCGAGAAAATCCGGAAAATTTTGACATTTTGCGAAAAATCGATAATTTTTTCCATCCCCTTCGCGTGTGTTGGGGTGAGAATTTTATGGCACGCAGCTGTATGGGTTCGAAAAGTATTATAGTGCCGGTCTTTGTGTGTGGTGGTGACGGCGGTGGTGTTGGTGTGAAAAACGTAAACAAACGCACGTGGGCTTGTTATGATTCAGAAGCCGGTGGTTGCTTATTGTGATTGTGTGTGCGTGTGGGGGGAAAGGGGTCGTTTTCCTTTTTTTGTTTTGACTCATTCTTTGTGTACGTGTTTTGATTTTCGTTACAGATTTAAAGCACTGCATCAAGAGAAGCTTTTGGAAATCCGGACATCAATATTCACTAAGCTGCTTACGATTTTAGCTGACTGGTAGAGGCGCTTTTTTAAGACTAGCTTAAGAAAGATCATCCCGGCGAGAACTACTAGCACCATGGGGAAGGAATTGCTGAACGATAGCTCTTTTTGCCAACAGTTAGGAGCGACACTAGTTCGCAATTTTAAACTTAAAATTAGAGACTCTAGGAAAACGATTGCCGAAGTATTCCTACCACTGTACACACTTGGCACCCTGATCGTACTGAAGATACTGATTCCTAATCCTAATTTTCCCGCCATCACCGAACCACGTGGCGCGGCATCACTTTTCGAACATTTTCAGCACTACAAAGCCCACACCATCGCGGTACTGCCGCAGCCAAATTCGTCGTCAACTGTGGTAAAATGGGTAGTGCAAAATTTTCCAAGTACTAGCCCGACTAATCCCTCTCCGATTTCAGCAATTCCTCGACGCAGTAAACGACCTATGGAAGTCCAACCGGCATCACAGCGCCGGTCTCCATCCCATCAAGTGGAACCTTTACGATTCGCAAGAGGACCTGCTGGCTGCATACTGGCGCGACCCGGACAAAATGCCACTGGCCTTGATTTTCCACAGCGATGACCCCATGTACGGCCAGCTGAAGTATGAAATCCGCACCAATCCGTCATTCTTCGTGACACCATCGACGACGGAGCTTTTCTCGTCTCTGGTCACGTGCAGACAATCAGACAGCTACTGGTCGGCCGTAATACCGATCGAAACCGGCGACTCCTGCCCGGTCAACCAGTACTACTACTCGGGGTTCATTGCACTGCAGACGCTGCTGGATTACACCAAAATCAAGGTCTCACACTCATTCAAATCTACTTAGAAGCATCTTTAGATTAACCCACCATCATTTCATTTTCAGATCGTGACACAAAACGACGACATACAGATACCTCACATCACGCTGGAGATGTTCCCCAAAGAATCCTATACGGGTAATTGGATGGTTGCGTTTAGACTAGTGATACCTATCTATATGGTGATGGCCCTGTCCCAGTTTATCACATATCTGCTGATACTGATTGTCGGCGAAAAGGAGAACCACATCAAGGAGGGCCTGAAAATAATGGGCTTGCGTGACTCGGTCTTCTGGTAGGGGGAAATCTTTGCCACTGGAGTGGAACTATTTTCGGGCGGTCATTAATTTGTATCTTCTTCGATTTTCAGGTGCGGTTGGTTCATTATCTACGCCGTATTTGTCACCTTTCTGACGTTCGTGTCCGTGATTTTGCTGTTCTCACTCGGTGTTTTCCAGCATACCAACTATCTGCCGGTGTTCATTCTGATTTTGCTGTACAGTTTTTCCGTCATACTGATTGGATTTATGATTACGCCGTTCTTCGACAACTCGAGGGTATGTAGAAATGATTTTACGTTTATTGTGAAAGTTCTGTTCTGTTGCAACACATTTGTCGCGATTTGCTAAATTTATCCAGCCTTGCCCGGGAAAGTTAGAATAACCAATATGCCTGATATTTCAATCGAAATGAGATTATTTTTGTATTACGTCTGTTAAGATTTAAGTCCACACGACGAATGAGAACGACCCAAATTTGACTTTAGTTTACTCATAATCGTCAAAAGTGCAGGAACTAAGCGATGAGTAAATTTGCCTCATGTTTTCCCAGGTTTATCCAGGATTTTCCAGGGAAAAATTCCCGAATTTGAGAATAGTAAAGATTTCATTCACTCAGTCTATTGGTACTACTCCGAGACTGAACAAAATTTTCGTCAATTTCCTCATTTTCCGGCAGATTTTTTAGGTTTTTCACAGGAAACCATGAGACAAATTTATTCATCGCTGAGTTCCTGCCCTTTTGGCGATTATGAGTGAACTAAATTCAAATTTGGGTCGTTCTCATTCGCCGTGCATGACAAACAATGTTGCTTCTGTACCAGAGATAGAAAATAAATGGATGCAATATTTAAATAAGGAAATGATCTCGTTTTCTGCATTTCATGATTTCGTTTTCTTCGTTTCATTGAAGTTTTGGCTATTTTGTTAAATCACTCTGATGATGGCTTTCTGCAGGGCACTTTTCTCTTTGCAATGGCAATGAAATTGACCAGGATCTTGCTACCATAGTACTGGGCATCCAGATGCTTAGAGCAAGCGAATGGATATTCCCTTCCGGCTACCAGCTCGGGTGGGGACATGTAGTTGAGGATGAATCGGTTGCTAGAACCGGAAAGAACCGGGTATCGGTTGCTAGAACAGGAAAATACCAACGTAAAAACTATTCCACCAAAGCGCCAGAGACCCCCTTTTAGCCCCATTTATTTTGTATCAAAACAGCAACGTTATTGCGTGATGTTTGTTTTGCTAGCAGGTTCTCCGATGAATTGAGTGTATTTTACGGCATAGATCACCGGCTGAAAAAACTAAGGTTCCTTTATGTCGTGATTTGGCATCGATCTGCCAGATTCCATGACTGGTATCGGCTGGTTTGTGGTTCTCTGTTACGGTTAGTTCTGCGGGGTGCGCTCTGTTCGGCGTCGGATAATCGAATGACGGAATGAGACCGAATAATCGAATGACGGAATGGCTCGTCCTGTTTCTTCGGAGGCTTCACCGGATCCACCTTTAATAACTCGTCCATCAGTTTCTTCGTGGCCTTTCCTTTAGTCTGTCTGTAAGTATGATTATTAATAATAAGCATTAGTTCCATCATAAAGCTATCTGTTTACGTCACTACGTCTTTTCAATCATAGTTTCGTCATTTATTCTTTTAAGGTTCTCCGCCATTTCTATCGGAGTCCTTTATTAAGCATGTAATTCTTACTTTTCATAAGAATATCATGCATATATTCCACCATTTCAATTGGAATATACTTTAAGTTAAGATCCTCCTTTCCTATAAGATCTCAACATTATAATATAGCTCTTTTGAACTCACCTTTTGTCGGGAGGCTTGACTTTGCTACCGTCTGCGCCATTGTCGTGATTTGGCATCGATCTGCCAGATTCCATGACTGGTATCGGCTGGTTTGTGGTTCTCTGCTAGGGTTAGTTCTGCGGGGTGCGCTCTGCTACGGTTAGCTCTGTTCGGCGTCGGATAATCGAATGACGGAATGAGACCGGCAGCCCGTCTTATATAGATGGACTCCGACTTGACGACTGATCTGTGGCGCTCTGCTACGGTTAGCTCTGCGAGGTGCGCTCTGTTCGGCGTCCGAGAATAGAATGATTGACTCGAGCAACGAATATCGCTTAAATACATAAAAGATCTGTACTTCCAACCAATCAGAGGAGAGCAACTTCCCAGTGTTATAGAAACGTACTGGCAATCTATCAGAGGAGAGAATATTATCAGTGATATAGAACAGCTTCTTTCCCTTTTTCTTTTATCAATCGAATGATGAATTTGTAATTCAATAGTTTTAGACTTATTTATTTTATTATTGGATTCATCCGTACCCTACACTTTACACCGAAAACATTGATTGCTTGGGCTGCGCTGTCAAAACAATCGAGATAATAAAATCGTTCATTAGAGAGCAAAAGAGTTCCTCATAGTTACTCTGGATTGCTCTTAATTTCTCACTGTCTTCCCCCTCGGTTCATAGAATAATAAACGTCCTCAAAGGAAGCCGATAAACCTAGCCTTTCGTGATGTGAAAAGCAACGGTCTATCAGCGGCCAAAAAGAATGGAACCGGTGGGGAACATTGATGGAGACCAAATATAGAGGATGATGAATATGACTTCTGTAGTTTGTTTTGTGTGAGTTGCTGCTTTATTTCAATTAAGGGTACTAACAAGGAGTAATAACTCTGCACACTGTGCCGAAACACAGCAGGACACACTATTCGGCACTTTAGGACAAACGTTGACAAGTAGGATATAATCAACATAATATAAAACGGCATCACTGTCGAGAGGTGACGTTTTGCCAATCGTTGCTAAGGTTAACTTCTTTGTTTACTACATTGGGCTTCACATTGGGTTCGGATTCCAAGGAAAAATGCTGTGAATTGTAAGTGGTAGCTTACCTGCCAGTCTATGGCTGGCCCGATTTACCCCGGCTGGGCAACTACGAGCAGGGTACCCCCCCCCCCCACGTTCGGATTTGGGTGAAAGTAAAAGAAAAGAGAAAGAAAGAAAGTAAATTTAAGACTTCTATTAACTAAATTCTGACCTTCCCTTTACCTCCTCGCTGTCTCGGTGGGGCCGCGGTTTCTGTTTGTTCACATCGGCTCCAGACACGGTCTGTGCTGAGCGTCTCCTACTTCACTTTTAGCTGCCTAGCAGCAGTCCTTTACTTTTATTTATTTATTTATTTATTTATTATTATTATAGTCCATCTGACTTGATAGTCTCAATGAAACACTTAAATCTAAAAGTAGTCACTCATTAAAAATTAAAAATTGACCAACAGCAAACGATGACGAAACATCGAGGCATTGATGTCAAAGTCAAATAGGTCAGAGGCTTCGTTGAATTGATGAATCATGGCGACAAAGGAACTGTTTGCAGCATAGTTGGTTGCATGTACTACTTCATGTAGCAAGGTTCTCGGACGGAGTGTTCGGGCAGGAGCATACAGATTAATTTTGGCCAGTAACTCAGGAACATCATATTCTGCGAGTAAAACTTTAGCAACGAAGACGACCTGCGATATGTTTCGTCGCTTAGCAAGAGTATCCAAACCCAGTAAACGACAGCGGTCCGCATACGGTGGTAAATTCTGCGGGTCACTCCATGGAAGATAGCGCAGTGCGTATCTGACGAATTTGCGTTGAACAGCTTCGAATCGTCCACTCCATACAGCTTGGTAGGGATTCCAGACAACACACGCGAATTCCAGTAGTGAGCGTACCAATGAACAGTAAAGGGCTTTAAAACACAGAGGATCACGAAATTCCTTAGATATCTTGAACATGAATCCAAGCTGTCGATTAGCTTTGTCGATCGTGGTTGAGAAGTGGCGAGTGTATGTGAGCTTTTCATCCAACATGACACCGAGGTCTTTAACGTGATCGACACGTTGAACTGCAGTTCCAGTAACGTTATAATCAAACAAAATGGCAGTCCTAGTTCGACGGAAACTAATTACGCAGCACTTTGAGACGCACAGCACCATAAAATTGCGTTCACACCAATCATTAAAAATTTCAAGAAGGTTTTGTAGTTCTAAACAGTCGGCATAGCCTCGAACGACTAGATAAATCTTCAAGTCCTCGGCAAAAAACAATTTACCTCCACGTAGTAGAATAAACGTTACATCGTTCACAAATAAAGAGAAGAGCATTGGTCCCAAAGTGCTATCCTGTGGAACTCCTGATCTGTTCGAGAAACAGTACGATGAGTAGTTTCCAATGCATATAGTAACTTCACGTTGCACGAGGTACGATCTAAGCCAGCTGCAGAAGGAAACAGAACATCCAATTTTTTCAAGCTTTGCTAGCAGAACGTCGTGCACAACTCTATCAAACGCAGCTTTAAGATCAGTGTAGATGGCATCCACTTGAAGTTTCTTGCATACATTTTCCATACAGAACGACGTAAAGCTGACGAGATTAGTTTCCACGGAGCGGCCAGGAAAGAAACCATGTTGACATGTATTTATGTAATGCTTGCAGGAAGCAAACAATCTCTCATTTATCAGCGACTCAAACACCTTAGATTCAACCCCAAGCGAGGTAATCCCACGGTAGTTTTCCACATTGCGTTTGTCTCCTTTCTTGAAAACAGGGAACATAGTAGGCCCTTTGCATAGTGCGGGAAATTTCTGTTGACGAAGTGACAGGTTGAAGAGCAAGGACAACGGAGCAGCTAAGATATCGGAGCATTTTTTTAGGACTGCAGATGGAATAACACTCGGACCTGGTGAAAATGATGATTTGGTTTTACTCATCACAGAGAGAACCATTTGTACATCTATGGCAAAAACATCCATGTTTACGACGTCGGTTGGCACATCACGGACGGCTCGCTCAATTTCTGCTTGCGATGGGGAGTCATTCGAGAAGACGCTTAAGAAGTGCCTAGCAAATAGGCTGCATTTGTCCTCAGTTGTCAATGCTACGTCATTGCCGAGAAACATTTTTGACGACAGTCCAGTTTCCTTCCTCTTAGTATTCACAAACGACCAGAATCCCTTGGGGTGGCATTGCAGATTATGTTGAGTACGAATTACATACCTCTTGTAAAGAAGCTTGTTGTAGTGGCGATAATCATTGCTGGCAATTGAAAAATTTCGCTTGGTAAGGGTACATCGTCGATGAGTGAGAGCACGGAGAGCTCTAGATCGCACTCGTTTCAGGTTGCGGAGAGTAGCGTTAGACCAAGGCGGTTTTCTTGGAGGTTGGCACTTCGGTACTGAAGCACAAACACAGTCGCGCAAAAGGCTAT